TTCCATCCTTCCGAGGTGGGTAAAATGAGGACCCAGATTGTTGGGGGCAATATGCTGACTCCCTGTAAACCGCTTAGAGAGGGCTGAAAGCCCTAGGAAGCAGTATATAAGTCTACTGCTATTGCTATACAAATCAAGATGACGGGTTCATCAGAAGGGGACGCTTCAATGGGCAAAGGGACGTCATCCATATTTTCCTTTCCTTTTCTTTTCTTTTTTTTTGTCCCCTCTTTTTGTTTCTCTGTCTGTGTTTCCAGCCACTTCGGTTGATTACAGTTCCTTTGCAGACAGATGCAACAGCTGGATAGAATTCATTAAACAGAAAGCTCACACCATAAGGCGTGGATCAATTAAGACAAGTAGGCAGCCGTTTCTACCCCATTCTGATCATTGGGAGCCTAGATTCTCAACCTCTCAGTGGCAAAGGGCAGAGCTTCGTATTCAATAGTGGCGTTGCAAAAAATCAGTGTCCCGAGTGTGAAAGCTGCGGGGGTCTGTCCCAAAACGGTTAACTTTGGAGCGCGCGGCTCCCCCTCGAATCATTGGCAGCACATTATGTACCGGTGGCCAATACAGGCTTGTGAATTGTAACCCCACCCCCACCCCACCCCCCTCAAAAATATACATACTCTGCATGGCGGAATATGTATGTATACCTCAGTGAAATTACTCACAACATGCAAGGATTCCCTATGTGACCTGCATGGCTGTAATTACCGAATTAATCCACGATGAGTTGTTGTTTTTTTAAATTCTTATTTAAGTCCTTCCCTAGATTTTGCTTTATTTGCCCAAGATGACGATTTAGATGGAAGCTGGGAGAGCTTAGACCAAATTTGCAAAAACGGGCAAAAACAAAAACAAAAAAACAAGTGGAACGGAGAAACATGTCAACTTTCACACTCTTTCCTGTAGACTTTTTGTCATTCCTTCTTGCAGAAAATGTCCATCAAATTTTGACTCCCTCTTCGAATCCTTCCACTCTGCCCTCCCACCCCACCCTTTTCTGTAGATCCACTTTATAACCAATCATCTGTCTGTGCAGCTGCTGGCCTCCGTGTTTCCTTTTGCAGGAATGATCCTTCTTTTCCCCCCAAAATAAATCCCAGCCAAGCTTCTGGCCCCTCACCTGCATGTGCTGCATGATAATTCGCTTTCTTTGGCTGAGCATCACAGGCAGCTGAATGTGGTCACCCAGCTCTCTCACGCCCATGTGGAAGGGTCACCGTTGGTGCTGCCTCCATCTGGTTTGCCTGGAGTTCCAGTTGAGCTTCTCTCCCCCCCTCCTCTCTCTCTTTGCTCCGTGTAGCCATCTCCCTGGACAAGCCAAGCCCACTGACCGAAGGACAGTGCCGTAACCATCTGGGACCCATGGGAATGAACTCCACTGTGCCAGTTGTGAAGATGACACCGCTCTCTTTCATCCCCGGGGCAAAAATAACGAAATACCTTGGGATCATCAACATGTTCTTCATACGAGAAACCACTTCTCTACGAGAGGTGAGCTGACAAGTGCATTTCTCGCATGACCAATTAGGTTTAGGTTTAGGTTTCGTTTTATTTATATGCCGCCCTATTCCCAACGGGACTCAGGGCAGCTCACAAACCCAAGGGGGGAAGGGAAACACAAGAACTACAATTACAAGCCTTTAAAATAACCAACAGACACACAATCGAGAGGGGAAGGGAACTCATCAACCCCAGGCCTGCCGACACAGCCAGGTTTTAACGGCTTTTCGGAAGGCCTGGAGAGAGGTGAGGGTCCGAATCTCTGCAGGGAGTTCGTTCCAAAGGGCCGGGGCTGCCACAGAGAAGGCCCTCCCCCGGGTAGTAGCCAGATGGCATTGGCTGGTGGACGGAACCCGGAGGAGGCCGACCCTGTGAGATCTAATGGGTCTTTGGGAGGTAATTGGCAGCAGGCAGTCTCTCAAGTACCCAGGTCCAATACCATGAAGGGCTTTATAAGTGAAGGGTTGAGTTTAGGTTTGGAGTACACCATGGGCGTAGGTTTGAAATGTGGCATGGCTCCAGAGCAGGGGCGTCAAACTCCAGGGCAGGGGGCCGGATCCAGCCCACGGGGTTCTGGTTAGATCTGACCCGTGGGGCCTCTCTGGAAACAGCAAAGGACCAGCCCACAGTGCCTCTGCCAGCGAAAACAGAGCTTGAGCGGGCTGCATGCAGGAGGCCACCACAGCTGAAAACGGAGCTTGCAAGGGCTGCAGGCGGCACTCCCAAGCTCTGTTTTCGCTGGCAGAGGGTTGCAGGCAGTGGTTGGTTCCGGATCCCGTTGCAACGGGGCCCAGCGTCCTCCACATGAATGGACGCAGTCCTCCACATGAATTCCACGACGTTCCAGCTGCTTGGCGGAGCGTCACGCAGGCACTGTACACAACATGCGCGTACGCGGAAGCACCAAAGAGTTTAAAGACAGGTAAGGACAACGGGCAGGCAGGTGGGCCCTTCCGTATCAGAACGGTACCCGGTGCTCCAGACAGGCACTGGTACACCCGTACCGGGGCGTACCGCCTGCAGCCCACCAGTGGTTGTAAGAGGGCGTCGCAGCCAAAACAAAGCTTGTGAGCCTGTTTTCACTGGCAGAGCGCTCGGACCACCGTAGGCGCCCTGACACGAGTGACATCGAGCTGGCCAAGCCCACCCTGGCCTCTTAAGGTCAAACACAACCCTATTCCAACCTGAGGGCTGGACATGAAGTAACTGCTAGGAGATCATTAAAAAGAGACCCAACCTGGAACTAAGGAGAAATTTCCTCAAAATGAGAACAATTCATCAGTGGGATGACTTGCCTTCAGAAGTTGTGGCTGCTTCATCGCTGGAGAGATTGGACAACCATTTGTCTGAAATTGTATAAGGTCTCCTGCTTGAGCAGAGGGGGGGGGTAGAAGATCTCCAAGGTTCCTTCCAACTCTGTTGTTCTACACTCAAACAACTTATTTGTATGTGTTTTATAGGAAGGTGGTGTGAGTGGCTTCCTGCATGCCTTTGTCGCTGAAGTGTTTGCGATGGTCCGAGCTCATGTGGCAGCTCTTGGGGGAAATGCTGTGGTCTCCTACATCATGAAGCAGTGTGTGTTTATGGAAAACCCAAACAAAAACCAGGTAAAGATGCTCGCCTTACCAAACCCTCCATCTGGGGGTTCTTCGTGATAACCCCAAAGCCCACAGCTTTTTGCTGAGAAGATGATGGCCAAATTAAAACCATTCATGACTTGTTTCTGGCCTTTTCGGAACCAAAAAGAAGAGGTCTCTGCCCCAGGAATTTGAAAAACAATGTCCGGTGCTTTAGAAATAATTTGCAAGCAGTCCTTCAGAGTGTGTAGCTGCATAGACATGCCGGTAGCCCTGTTTGCTACATTTAAAGCAGCAGCATCTTTTTCTAGGGCTGCCTGGCTGCAGCCCATTCAATTCGAGATGCAGCTGCTTTAATAGGTAATGATCGGTGCTAGGCTCATGCTCCCTCATGCTCCAAAGGCATTTTTGGAAATAAATCCAAAGCATTAGATAGCCTAATCTGTAGGCATGTAGCTTTTAATTTAAAATTATGGATTAATCCATTCTTCAGTAGGCTGGCATGTATATCTTATTTACCCCTGTTATTTACCCCAAAACAGATAGGTTCTGCTTAAATTAGGCCTTGCATTTTACCTGGATTAGATATGAACAATGTTTTGTTAACATTTTAAATAATTCATGCTTCTCTAAAAGGCCTGCAGTTTTGAGTAGCTAAAAACAAAGAGACTCCAAAAATAATTATTTTCTTTCCACCTACAGACCGACTCCTAATTTGAGATAAATGTGATATAAATTCCATCATCTGTGATCCAAGTCCTTAAAGCAGTCCTGGACATCTCTGGATCGCATGGCGGTCACTGTCTACTCCAGGGTTTCTCAACCAAGGCAACTTTTAAGATGGGTGGACTTCCAACTTTCAGATTTCCCCAGCCAGCTCTGCTGTCGGGGGAATGCTGGGAGTTGAAGTCCACCCACCTTAAAGTTGCCAAGTTGAGGAGCTTTGATCTACCCCTTTGAGGCTTTGCAAGCATAACCAATCCCTCCTCTCTGTAACCAGGCTGGCCATGAATTCCGGACATCGCTTAGCAAAAAGCCCCTTAGATGGTGGTGGCAATTTATAAACTATGTAAAAATCATATTTAAAAAATTTAAAGACAGGAAAGTACACAGACACTACTCCAAAACCTCTTTCTCCTGATAGCTGCTCTAACTATCTGCCGAATCCCATCTAAGGCTCTTGCTATCATGTATATCCCCCCCCCCCCAGTTCTATATCTAGAACTTGTGAAGGTGCCAAAGCCACACCCCAACTTATAAATCACCAGAAACTTCCCCTTTCAAAGTCCATCAGAGCCAAAGTCCATCAGAGCCAAGGTGGCGCAGTGGTTAAATGCAGCACTGCAGGCTACTGCTAGATCAGCAGTTCAGCGGTTCAAATCTCACCGGCTCAGGGTTGACTC